GCGTTATTGATTAGTAAATTTCAGTTGCTCAGTCCTGTTTATTTTCATATTTTCACAATAAAAACTTTTAGTAATGCACAGGGTAACTTTCATACCTTTCAATACAACTTCTTCCAAATTCTTCTTTCTTTTTTTAATTCTGTAATATAATTTTCCAGGGGGGTTTGTGAAAATCCAAGTCTCTGTATCGTTACGGCATATCATGACAGGTTTTTGTTGGAAGCCCGATGAAAAATGGTGAAAAAATTAGCAAAGAAAATTTTTTCAATGGGAGTTTGCAAATTGCGGACGAAATGAGTTATTTACATTCAAAAAATGTTATACATCGGGATTTAAAACCTGACAAGTAAGCGTTGATTTTTGGCCTTTCCTTGATTGTATGCTGAGAAGCAGACTTTAAATGCCAAACTTTGGAAAGTAATGACGTTTTAGCATTTATTTTGACGAGAATGGACAATTGAAAATATGCGGGTTTATTTTGGCCCGAAAATGGAATGGAGACAGCGGAACCATGAGCTGCTGTGGCACACTTCACTACATGGCTCCAGAAATGATCCGACATGAACATTACGATAATAAAGTAGGTTTAATTTGGCAAAAAAAAAATTGCCTAGTGTTCTGGATGTCTCAAATCAATTCAAACTTAATTTTGAAGAAAAATCAGTTATCTACAGCGGTAAATGACACTGTTTTCAGGTTGATGTGTGGAGTTACGGAGCAACAATATGGCAGATTTTTACGGCAGTGAAACCATATGAATGCTTCACACTATTCCAGTTGTTCTGCGTAGTCCCAGCTGGGTTCGCTTCTTTAAAACTGAACTGCATTTACCTCAGCAAAAAATTCGGCAAAAGTTTTATTAACGGAAAGAAACTGTGTGGGAAGTTTATGAATTTGTTTTATAGAGGTATTAAACTTCCTTTTCTTGATACTTCGCAGTATCGTCAGCTCAAAGAACTAATTCACGGCTTTTGTACACCAGATCCAACGAAACGACCAGATTTTAACAATATAACAAAAAACTCTTTCCTCTACTAAGGTTTGCACCAACAATTCTTAAAACTCTTCCCAATTTTATGCAACAATTTAATATTTGAAAAATTAGCGGTATTTAATAGTCAACTGAAAAGGCCTAATTGAAATCCTCACCAGTTTAAGGCAAGCCCTGACTTCCGGAGAATTTTGGAAACTGATTGGGAAAAACTTGTGGAAGAAGCGGAAAGCCACGCTCGGGAAGAATTAGAAAAACACGTTTCTGTAGCGGCATCTTTCCCCAATGCAAAAATTTTATCAACTTTATGATATTTTTGTTTTTTCTTTTAGGCACTCAATTTTGCAAAAGTCTTCCTACTCAAAATTTTGCTTCTTTTAAATGACACAATGTTGTTTTTCAGTAAGATACTTGAAGAAGTTTCGTGGAGAAAGGTAGTTACAAGGAGCAACGGACAAAGTGTTACTTATAAGCAAGTCCTGTCTACTTTCCCTTCAGTACCGAGTAAAGTTTATCATTAAAAGTGAAAAGTAATGATATTCGCTTGCCTATCAGTAGAGTAAAAAGGATATACTTTTATACTTGTTTTTCACTCTCAAAGTATTGTAACGTTTTTCTTCTAATTTCCAAAATTCATTTGATATTTGTTAAAAATCTATCGAATAATCAGCCCCTTCTGAGGAAGCGTTAGGGGTTAGAGGGG